TCTTGCTCTTCACAAGAAAACTCTTACTCAAGCAACTGCTCAGACAAGTGTAAGTTCACCTTGCAGCATTTTAACAATGCTGTTTATGCATGTAATAATATTACACTGTTTTAACATAATGACCTATAAATCCTGGTAATCTTTCTCCCCTTTGTTTACATGTACAAGCTAAAGTCCAAACAATTATTACTGTTTCATCTTTATGTCAGCACACGAAACATGTTACAACAGTTTTGTTATGCATGTGGTAATTGACACACTACCACACGACATGTGCACATCATACCTAGTTGCAGCTCCGGTCATACCAAATAATTACTAACTCTGGTTTGTATCAAGTTATACATCATGTGTATTATACACGTCATGTTGTATGACAGAGTATCATGTAAATGGATTTACAGGTACAATGTATATAGCATTTGAATGGATATTTTTGCCTGAGGAAGATACCGGTAGCAGCAGTTAAAACAGTACAATAATCACGTCACAGAATAATGGGAAGTCAAATGTTGGTATACCCAATCTATGAATTGCACAAAGATATCACAGTTAAAAGAATAGAGAAGTTAGTATTTTGTTCTTAGGCCACACCAATTTAATTTCTTGGTTAACAGATTTTTCTAGAAAAATAATGGAGCGGGCGGGCGAAAAAAAAATAAAAATAAAAACAGGCCTAGGCATCCTATTATTGCCCAAAATGGTACGATAGGAGCCATGAAGTCAACACACCAGGCTGGTTCAAAATTTAAACAATGAATTTTGAACTTTTAATGATACCATTGCATTGAAAGATGGAATAACTGTAACAACTAGGATGAAAAGGACTGTTTTTAACTGTTCAGGGCACAATATGAGCATTTTGCAGTTGATTCTGGATTTTTATTTTTATTTGCAAATCAGAAAAAAATGAAGCGGCTAATCCGTTAACCAAGAAATTAAATTGGTGTGGCCTTATGTTGAGGAGGAAGAGGCAGCAAGAGCAACAACAGAAAACATGGCTGGATTTTATAATGCAACATAATATAATATACTTCTCCAGTAACAGTCCACATACAGTGTGACAAGCTGAAAACAAAATGTGTCTGTTCAGCTAATAACAATGCACAATTACAACGTCAGTGTTTTCAAATGTGGCACAATTTTCAGTCATACAGTGCGACAAAACAGTAAAAAATGTAGATTGCCATTTCCTAAGCCATTCAAGGTACATTTTACACTGAAGTTTCATGATTCAACATGTAATGCCCTGTGCTGTAGTATACATTTTTATATATATCATATTCACAGCCATGTGTATTACACAGTACAAGACAGTCCAGTGCTCTTACCAGTAGAACAATTATACTACATGTACTTTCAAAAGGAGATTGCAAAACTGTGATAGGCACGTTTTTAGTTTGAAAATGCACTACGTGTCTGTAGTCTGTCAAATATCCAATTTACAACATGTACACAATCACATCTAAAGCCAGTGGATGTTTTTTTAACCAGTCCAAACCTAACCGCCAAATTATCATTTTTGTCTCAAAACAAAATACAAACTAGAAAGGCCAATATTTGCTTTGGAGCAAATACAGCGATGGGTTCACCACATTTTACGACATGGCAGGGAAAGAATGAGAAACACAAGGGAAAACAATGATTTACATTGATATAACTATAATATGAAGTAAAATACAACTAAAACAACAGTTGGATAGCTATTCCCTACTTTATTGGTTAGGATTTTTAATTGCATAATGCAAACTGTTGATTTTCAAAATAAAAAAAACGTCCATGCCCCGCATTCCAATGCTGGAGCAGGAAAGCTTGAAATACCTACCAAAACACTTGAATACAGACATACTGTCAGTATGGAAATGCGCTGTGCAGGTGTTAATCAAGTTAAATCCCAACAGCCAATCAGCAAGAAATGCTCTGTGCAGGTGGAAATGATCTATGCAGGTGTTAATCAAGTTAAATCCCAACAGCCAATCAGCAAGAAGAATAGAGGAAAGCTGCATGCCTATTGGTTGATGCCCTGCATTCCATTGTGATGACTCAATGCCCAAACGTGGTAAACAAGGCACACTAATACAGTAATACATTTGCTATAACACAGCCAAAAAACTCAAATAAAACCATTCTAAAAGCCTGTATCACAATAATTTAAAAAACGCCTAGGGGTATTTGCCCACTGTACCTCCATACCAAATTTCAGGACCTTGGGCCCTAAAATGAAGAAGCTGAATCCATTTAAAAAATGGCAGGAGGAGGAGAAGAAGAAGAAACATCAGAAAAAGCAATATGGTTTCACCACACCACTTCGTGGTGTGGTGAACCCATAAAAAGCCTGCCAATAGATCTTACTTAAACTATCTACAGTGTATCTCATCAAATTGCAATACAGTATTGGTATGTTCAAGGACATGATATAGGCTATAGATGTTATGTCCTTTTCAAGCACAAATAAGTATTAATCCTCAGTTACTGGAACAATGAAATCTTTCATCTTAAAACACAACAGAATATACATTGGACTGTTTTAACTAAACCTGTCCCCTAAAATGGCACATTAACAAGAAAGTAAAACTCTGTAAAATTTTAACCAGTAGATTACTTCAAGAATCTAGCTTGTATTACAACTGCAAAACTTCTAAATTTTCATAGCAACTGCGAATTTGACTTAGTTTGGGGGATCGGGAAAATGCAACACTGTCCATAATTTCCACAGCTGTTCTGTAGAAGACACTTTTACAAATGTACATCCATGGATTATGAAAGACTGGCATGGCATGTGTACTGTAGCTGTTTATCAGTGCCCAGCAATGTGGTTTGTAACTTTAGCCTTCATAGCAGTCTTGGGTCCTTGTTTCTATATTGCCATCTTTAATTTGCCAATACTATTTTCCTGATTGTTATCATCAGGTGGAGGAGGCCCAACAGTGGGAGATTGTGTAACACAGGCAAGTTTGCCACCATGGGTAGTGGAAACCCTAAGTTCTGAGCTTTTATTGTGTTTTGAACTTGCAGTTTTGAACTTGAGTAAGGCCACACCAATTTTATTTCTTGGTTAACAGATTTTTCTAGAAAAATATTGGAGCGGGCAGGCGAAAAATAAAAATAAAAACACGCCTAGGCATCCTATTATGGCCCAAATGGTACTATAATAGGAGACATGAAGTCAACACACCAGACTGGTTCAAAATTTAAACAATCTTTTTTTTTTAACTTTTAATGATACCACTGCTTAAAAAGATGGAATAACTGTAACAACTAGGATGAAAAGGACTGTTTTGAACTGTTCAGGGCAAAATATGAGCATTTTTGCAGTTGATTCTGAGTTTTTATTTTTATTTGCAAATCAGAAATAAAATGAAGCGGGCGAATCCGTTAACCAAGAAATTAAATTGGTGTGGCCTTATGTTGAGGAGGAAGAGGCAGCAAGAGCAACAACAGAAAACATGGCTGGATTTTATAATGCAACATAATATAATATAATTCTCCAGTAACAGTGCACATACAGTGTGACAAGCTGACAACAAAATGTGTCTGTTCAGCTAATAAAAATGCACAATTACAATGTCAGTGTTTGAAATGTGGCACATTTTTCAGTCATACAGTGTGACAAAACAGTAAAAAATGTAGATTGCCATTTCCTAAGGTACATTTTACACTGTTTCATAATCATGATTCAACATGTAATGCCCTGTGCTGTAGTATACATTTGTATATATATATATCATATTCACAGCCATGTGTATTACACAGTACAAGACAGTCCAGTGCTCTTACCATTAGAACAATTATACTACATGTACTTTCAAAAGGAGATTGCAAAACAGTGATAGGCACGTTTTTAGTTTGAAAATGCACTATGTGTCTGTAGTCTGTCAAATATCCAACTTACAACATGTACACAATCACATCTAAAGCCAGTGGATGTTTTTTTAACCAGTCCAAACCTTGCCAAATTATCATTTTTGTCACAAAAAAAGGCCTGCCAATAGATCTTACATGTACTTATACTAACTACCGTATCTCATCCAATTTCAATACAGTATTGGTATGTTCAAGGACATGATATAGGATATACATGTTATGTCCTTTTCAAGCACAAATTATTATAATCCTCAGTTACTGGAACAATGAAATCTTTTCATCTTAAAACACAACAGAATATACATTGGACTGTTTTATCTACACCTGTCTCCTAAAATGACACATCTAACAAGAAAGTAAAACTCTGTAAAATTTTAACCAGTAGATTACTTCAAGAATCTAGCTTGTATTACAACTGCAAAACTTCTAAATTTTCATAGCAACTGCGAATTTGACTTAGTTTGGGGGATCGGGAAAATGCAACACTGTCCATAATTTCCACAGCTGTTCTGTAGAAGACACTTTTACATCAATGGATTATGAAAGACTGGCATGGCATGTGTATCTGTTTATCAGTGCCCAGCGATGTGGTTTGTAACTTTAGCCTTCATAGCAGTCTTGGGTCCTTGTTTCCATATTGCCATCTTTAATTTGCCAATCACTATTTTCCTGATTGTTATCATCAGGTGGAGGAGGCCCAACAGTGGGAGATTGTGTAACACAGACATGTTTGCCACCATGGGTAGTGGAAACCTTGAGTTCTGAGCTTTTATTGTGTTTTGAACTTGCAGTTTTGAACTTGAGTAAGGCCACACCAATTTTATTTCTTGGTTAACAGATTTTTCTAGAAAAATATTGGAGCGGGCGGGCGAAAAATAAAAATAAAAACACGCCTAGGCATCCTATTATGGCCCAAATGGTACTATAATAGGAGACATGAAGTCAACACACCAGACTGGTTCAAAATTTAAACAATCTTTTTTTTTTTAACTTTTAATGATACCACTGCTTAAAAAGATGGAATAACTGTAACAACTAGGATGAAAAGGACTGTTTTGAACTGTTCAGGGCAAAATATGAGCATTTTTTGCAGTTGATTCTGAGTTTTTTATTTTTATTTGCAAATCAGAAATAAAATGAAGCGGGCGAATCCGTTAACCAAGAAATTAAATTAGTGTGGCCTAAGAGATGTTTTAGTGGTAAAATACAATATCAAAACCCTGACCAGAGACTGCTATGTTAGTGTTAGCCTCCTGTACAGACTCAGAGGGAGACCCCTCTTCCCCCAAAAGAAGCCGCTGCTCTAGCCACTCATAGAAAAAAACACTGCCCCGCTAGAAGTCTGCGCAGGAGGCTAATACAATAAGTGTAACATGTATGTTAAGGCTCAGTACTCTTCATAATGTACAAAATAAATGCAATTATTATAGTTCTTCACTCCCTTTTTGTCAGGAAAGCAAAGAAGTCTTGAAAGGCTGGTGCCGTGTCTGGTGTTTTCTTAGAAACTGGTGGTCTGATGGTCTCAGAGTACTCCTGCACAGCCTGGCACAAGTCTGCCACCAGCCAACCTCTGCTCCTCAACTGCTCACAGACCTCCTCAAGCTGTTAGAAGATAAAAACAGAAGGCAATCAACATGAATGATAATGCTAGTAGTTTTAGTAGTAGTAAGTTGTAGTAGTAAGCCTTTATTTAAATTCAAAAGCTTGTTCGGTACAACATATGACCGCTTTTCAACAAGGTCGAGGGTAAATTTTTTAGACATTCTACAGTGCAAGCAGGTAGAAACTGAATCTGGTAACTTATAATGTAAACCTTGAAGTGGGGATGTTGAAGAAAATACGACGTGTCTTGTTCCTTCTTGCTGCTGGATTTTGGAATATTCATCCACTGTATTAAAAAGCCATTAGCTTATAAAATCCCAGAAGTCATTTTCTGTTAAAAGAAATTGGGGAAAGGAGAAATCTAAACTAGGATAGTGAGTGAGCGAGTGAGTGAGTGACAGAAATTACATACTATTCCAATTAACAAAAAGGTATCCTACATTGTGAAAACTAGATACCAGTACTTGATACATGTACATGTACGGTGTATATAAAACAAAATTGCTCCAAAAACTATGTATACCTGCTCAACATCTTTATTTTCAAAGGAGTAGTAAATCATTTCAGGTGAGTCAGCATGGGAGGCAGCCATCCACTGCAACATGGCCTTGACCTGGGGGTCACCACCAAAGGCACCACAGCCCCAGTTCCCTGTAGACACAATTTTCATAGATGTGGGAGAATATTGTAATTTAGTTAACTAGAAGGGTAACATTTGCAAAGCAAATGCATAATGTTTACCTTTGCATATGGTCTGCTCTGTTACTAGTAATTCTTACTCAAACACATTCATATATATGGTGACAAGAGTCTAAGTCCCTCCTGCTATAAAATTGCAACAGAATGTAACCCAACACTGGTTACCATGGTGATAGACGTCTGGTTCAGGTCATTAACCTTATGAGTTTGGAGAAGAAGAAACAGAGCAAAAACCATATGTTTTCCTTCGGTAAACATAAAAAAAGGCAGTTGAAATTCCTGTTGTCATAAAATATGAGCAAATGGCATAATGTGGAATTGGACCCTACTCAACAGTACAACATACATGTAATTGTACATGTACTTGTCTAAAAACAGAACTTAAAACACTCTGGTCATATTTGATTTTGGAAGGCTTAGGGGAATCTATAAATTATGAAATAAAAAATCTGATCCACATGAATCCACAACAGTGAGAGTTACTAGTAAGTTGTGAAGCAAGTAGAGGAAAGTGCGCTCTTTCAGATGACATGACTTAAACTGTATATCCTTGCAGTCAAAACTTGAATAGAAGGCAGCCATGTAATGCAGTCATACCTGTGGCAATTGGTCGGTTGCCTGCAGTGGTTGTTCCACCTTGCCTCTGCACGGAGTCCATTGCACGATTGAGAATATCAGTTGCAACATTTTCACAGAAACTGTTCATACTTGGCAACGAGTGCGATCTTTGAGAAGTTCGCCACAAGTCAACTTCCACCGTAGGAATGCTTTCTGATGAGAACTGATCTGGGGGCGGTGGGATGAGGCTGTGAGAGGTTTCGACCATGACAGCTTCTGTCTCATCCTGGAACAACTCTTCCTCTTGGCTGTGCGCTCCAAGCTCGCCCGGACTGTCAGTTAGAATGCCAAAACTACTGTCCTCTGGGGAAGTGTCTGTGTGCCCATTTTCTGGCTGGGGAGGATCACCAACAGCACAAAATGCTGTGGTTACAATGGCACAGGCCATACAGTCGGCAAACATCTCCAAGTTTGAAACATTTGTCACACCACTGTCTGGTTCAGTATGCAGGTCGGTTGTTAGTGTGATGTCCTCAAGCGGGTACCACGTGGAACACTCATCTGAACTAACGGATGAGGTTTCCTCCCCAGCTTCGGTATTGGACGTTGTTTCTTGAGGTGGAGAGGACTCATCCTCGTATCTTGTAGACAATCTAGTGGTTTCCTGCCTGGCCAAGGCAGAAAGACTCGGAACTGTTCTGAATATTTCACCCCCAGATGTTGCTGGTATTGGCTGGCCCTCACACGGTCCGCCTATGTCTGGAGTAAGCGATGACGAAACCTCATGTTGTTTTCCCAAAGACCACTTGGAGGCACGCATATGAGAGGTTTCCTCAAAGGCAGAAACCATGACATCCTGTGTTAAACATTCCGCCAGGTTTGAGATGGAAGAATTCTCCATTCCACTTTCACTCACTGTATCTAAAACTGCTATGCTTGCGGAGGAGTATTCGGACTCAGTGGACGGAAATCTGTCCGTGTCCACTCGAAACAAGGACGAGAGCATTTTCAGCCCTGGTCCAGGGTCTTCCGTCAACTCTTCTATGGAAGGGGAGCTAAGGATCTCTATACTTCCTGTCGAGCTGATCATAGACTCTGACATCACGTTGGTAACGAACCTCCCGACTGCCGACTGGACAATGTTGCTGGCCAGTACTGTCGACAGTTCCTCTACAGACGTGGTTTGGGCTGTCATGCTACCAAGTTCACCTCCTGTGCACTCTTCTGGGCTGACAATGCCGATGCTGCTGCTGGATGGACTAGAGCCATGCTCGTACATCTCAGCGCCCCCTAGTGACTTGAAGGGGAACTTCTGATCCTCCGGTGTTGGGGTGTTACCAAGGATATCAAAACTGCTAGCCGAGCTCAAGACAGAGTCTCCCATACCGGCATATACTTGTCTCTGTACAAGGCCGTGTTTGGTAGGGGTGCTGACGTCAGAGCTTGGTGACAGGTCGTGTGCGACCTCCACGCTGCTCGTGGAGAACTGCATCCGGTCATCCACCCCGAAAGGACCAGTAGCAACCGTTGTCTCCTCTTCACTGTCATCAGACGATGTGCACCTTTCCACCGACGAACTGGATATTCTGGAACTTGACGATCTTGAGTCCCTTTCGTGCAGCACGTCAAAGCTGCTGGTAGAACTTGGTATCGACTTGGAGTCAAAGGCAAGACCTCCTCCGTGAAACTTTGGCTGCAGTTCCTCCAAGACTGAGCCAATGATACCAGTGACCACCTGTTCTGAGAAGTTCTCTACGCTTGAACTCTTCTCCCCTGAGAAAGCCTCCTTTTTGGCAATGTTTAAGATGTCCTCCACAAGAGCTTCTGAGTATCTTTCTATGTGGTGTGTAGCCGTGACTTCGCCGTTACTTATTACACTGATACTGCTGGAGGAGCTCACACAGGAAGGGCATCCCCTGCCCAGCGAACCCACAAGATTCAAATCGTCATGCACCACCTCACAGAAACTGTCAGACGACTGCTGAGAAGGTAACTCAGAGCTGCTAATGATACTGATACTGCTATCTGTTGTCGGGCTCTCATCATACAGATCAACTGCAATCTTGGGCCTGCTCAGAACATTTTCTAGGACTTCTTGGACCACATTCTCTGCATACTTTTCCACGGTGTTACCTAAATCCAGGGCAGTGTCATCTTTGGCTTCATGTACACTACCCAAGGCATCCTGTAGAATGGAGGAGGAGAGTGTATGGGCAATATGCTCAGCAGCATGCTGTGTGGTCACCTCTTGTTCTACAAGATGTTCTGCAACCGCATTGATAATGTCTTTGGACATTTCCTCAGCTATCTTTTCATAGCTGGCAGTGATAGAGTTTCTTGACATCAGTAGGCACCCCTCGAGCACATCTGGGGTTAGGGTATCGACGAGAGAATCTGAAAACGTGCACGGTAAACTTTGACGCTTGCCTCTTCTGCCTGGTAGAGGATCCTCCGAGATGCTTGGCATGCTCCCTCGTCTAGACGACGTCATTTTTGTGGAAATACCAGCTTCAGTCAGAGTTGACGTTCTGGTCACGACAGTGTCAGAAGTACATGAGATGTTACGGAAGGTGGACCTCTTGTCGGTCACTCCCCTTCCTTGTGGAGTCATCCCGCCTTCGCCACTCTTTTCAGGCAGCGAGGAAAGAGAATTGTTGATGATATCTCCAGCCAGATCGGTTGCAAACCTGTTCACTCTGTGTGGGCTTCCCCCCGCGCTCAAGCCGTTCTTTGGTGGGCTGTTAGGAAAGTTGAGTGCTTGGCTTGAATCCTCTTCTCGACTGGTGTGTTCCTTCAAACTGCTGCTTCTTGGGCGGCTTACAGACGTTGCCCCAAACATTGCCATCTCGACAGAGATGTGTGGCTCAGACCTCCTTCCAGCCCTCACATGTTTGCTTCCTTCACTTAACGCTGGACTGGAGAAACTTTCTGGACATAGCAGTAAAACATTTTCCTTTGTGTCGCTGGCTTTGCTGCCTCGGCGCTTTTCCTCCATGTAGTCCTTCCCAGTCAAGGCTTGGTAGAACTCTTCCATCGCACTACAAGCACTGGACCTCCTAGAACTACAGGCACTGGCAACACCGCTCCCACGACGAGACAACCTACCCTCCGATTTCAAATTCTGAGCCGCAAGGTACTGAAAGAACTCTTCGGTGATGCTCGTACGCTTTGACTCAGAAGTGCTGGAGGTGTTACAGATGCTGCTACGTCTGGAGTCGCTGACTTGCGACGCCTTGTACGTCGCTTCACACATGATGCTCCACGACATGTCTTCCGCAAAATGGTTGATCCCACACACCGAACCCCTTCTCTCATCAGAAGGAGCATCAGCAGCTTCGGACTGGTCTTCAGTCTCGACTGAAAACATGGTTGTCGAAAGCTTACTAGCCAGTTCACCGTGGTCTAACTTGGCACTTTGGGCCATTCTTATCTGTGAGGGGGTGGCTGGGGAGGGTGGGGGTGTGTCCGGCACACTGGCAGATGCTGATGAAATGGGAACTGTTATGCTGATCTCCCCCACAATATCACTAATGGTATCTTCCATCTCACCTACAGTTTGATCGCCAGATGCGTATTCATTTCCAGTGTATATGAGGTCCTCACCATTACTTTGTCCTGTTGTTGTGCATCTTTCATCCTCCTCCTTACTGTCATCATGCGGAATGATATCAGCCTCCTCTGGTGGAGCTGTGACACAGACTGACACTTCGTCTAGAATCTTGCCAACGATCCTGGTGGCGATTGATTCATATTGCACACTTTCGTCAATCTGTGGCGACGGACGGACAAGACTTCCCTTGGCAAATTCAAAAGACGAGCTACCGAGTTCCATGCTATTGTCTAGATAAGCTTCAGCACCGGAAGAATCTGCTTCCACTGTTGTAGCCTGGTCTACCTCTGCAGTTTCTGTTTGTGAGAGTTTGCTGCCATCTACAAAGGCAGTGTTGACAACGCTGGCAGCGTACGAGTCCAAGATTGAAATAACCTTCCTGTTTCCTTCACCGAACGCCCTGGCGACGTCCACGGCTTCCCGGATGGGGGACTCGGCGATTGGCTGGAGCCTGAGCGGCTGGGGCTTGGTCGTCACATGGGACGGCTCCTGGATCTCGAAGTTCTGCACCCCCTCCATCACGCTCGCCGCCGTCATGGCGCTCTCGTGTAGGAGGTTCTTGGCAAGCGAGATGGCGAAATTCTGCACCATGTGGTGTCGGAAGTGGATGTTCTCCTCCTCGATGGAACCTCGAGGAGAGGTCAGCTCGATGTTTTCCACCGCGTCGAAGTATTCGCTGGACCCGGACTCTTGGCTGGAGGGGGAGAAGGCACGCTCCTGTCTCCGCTTGGGGTGGAGGCGAGATACAGGACTGGCAGACGGACCTGTAGTGATGTCATCCATGCACCAGTCTGTTGCCATGAGAACCATTGCCACGCCCTGCTCATCCTCATCACTGTTGAACGGCAGATCTTCCCATACAGACCCCGGCAGATCTTCCCATACAGACCCCATGGCAGAAACTGCAGGGAAAATACAACAGGTACAAGTTGTTCAGCTGGGTGTTTGTCTGAATAAGTTCCTTCTTGCTATGTAAACATGCCAACAGATTAGACCTAAATCAAAGGTCCAACTTATTTCCAAATTTGAGAAACTTGTTTCTTTTTTATAATGCATAGAAAGCTTTTGATTGAGGCAAATGTACTGTAACAGTACTGTAACAGTAATTGAACTGATTGAAACTTTATAATTTACACTTTTAATGAATTACTGAATAATTTAGAAATAACATTATGCAAGCACAACATTTATAATATAATTAATGTACTTTAAATTCATACCTTCTATGTTGTGCTCCTCTTCAAAACTTCCAAACGCTGTGTGAAAGTCATCATCAGACCAGGAAGATGATTGGTCAATTTCAAGCTTGTCCTGCCTGTCAGGGCCAATGGCAGGTGGTCTTTCATCCAAAGGTGGACTGAATCCTACGTAAGCCTTGTTTAGATCTCTGAGAAGATTTCCTTGCTTGTATTGTTCATCATGTTTTCTCCTGTTGTAGTTTTGGGCATCTATTGCACACAAGGTCGTCTCAATGTTGCCATCTGCATTCACCTACAAGGAAAAAAAATTAGCATCACCATAAAAAAATCAAAATTACTCATTAATAAAAGGAAAATTACTTAAAAATAAGCTTTGGAGTAAACTACAGTATCTTTCCCCTTTGAGCAAAGGCTCATTGCAAGAAATGGCAGATCAATTTGTTTCACTGCAGACATGACTTCAGCTGCTAGGTGGAGCTTCTGCATTGATCCAACTCGTCTGAGCTGGTGCTAAAGAAAACAGCCTATTCAATAGCCAAAGCTACATTGTAAAATGTAGAATAAGGTGAGATTGAGAATAATCTACAGAACATTTTCCAGTATCTAGGTACTAGAATATGTTTTGTTAGTGTACAATTTCAGGGCTGCTCTTCCATCTTTAAGATTGTGTTTTCCCTACTTCATATACTGGTATATCAAAGTACTAGACAAACCTCAGAATTGTCCTTGCAGTCTCCTCCATACCCCAAGGTGCGGCCATACCCAGTGTAGTGTGAGAACTGCTCAAACCCTGCAATCTGGATGGCCTCGTTGGCATCCATTTTCTCCATAAACAGCATAGAAGTGATCAGCTCTGGACAGATACAGAACCTGATTTCCTCCTAGACACAGTAGGAAACAGGTGCTGCAAGTTAGTTTGGACTTGAAAAAGTTTTTTTTTCTTCCTCTGTGAAAGTACTACCTGGCAAAATCCTACATCAAGTAGTTTTTAATCTTGAATATTGTGGTTAGCATCAAATAGGCACAACTCATTATAATTATGTTTACCAAAGAAAAACATATTGTTTTTGCTACGTTTCCTCTTCCTCTTCTTCTCCAAACAGTGACCTCTGACCTGACTGAACCAGACTGTCTCTCACCATGGTAACTGGTGTTGGGTTACATAATGTTGCAATTTTATGGCAGGAGGGATTTAGACTCCTGTGACCATATAATTATGTTCATGTGTAAGAATTAACAGGGTAGACCATATGCGAAGGTAAACATTATGAATTTCTTTGCAAATATTACTTTTCTAGTTACAGTGTATCAAATAAACAGCTCAAACTCTTTTTTTAATGCTCTTGCACATCAATCAAAATCAAATTTACAGTTATTGGGTAGAGGGGATATTATACAGCCTTAATAGCATTTCTGATGGCTAATCATTTTGTGATACAGTGATGCAAATTCCCCATGAATTTACAATTGGACTTGGCAAGAATATTGTGTAATCTGAAACTTCCTGAGCTCATCTATCATTAATCAGGCCTTGAAAGTCATTTTGGGGAAAAGGTGCACTAGTGCACACAATTTTTTTGGTTGCACCATACAAGTTATTTAAAAGAATGTTAGCAAAAATACTAACTGTAACATTTTTATTTTGTTATTTTTCTGGCACAAGAATATACATTTTTACATCTACACAATGTACATTGTTACAGTAATATATTTTGTATAGTATTTTGTAAACCTACTAATTTTAAAAATATTTGAGTGCACTGACGCACTCACAGAAAAAAATTGGATGCACAGCTCCAAATTTGGGTGCACTTAGTATTTCCAGCCCTGTTCATCCATTAGACATTACAGCAACTGTCATTTCAGGCTGTTTTATCACCGGGAAGCAGACACAACATGGAGCTGTCTGAAACTGTTACTTGACATGTAGAATAAATTATTCATGTCAAACTTGACTGCCATCCTGGCATGTTGACAAGGCTACACAAATGAAATCTGTCATTTGGGCAAACCGCCTGGAGGTAGGAATAACAGGTATGACGTCATGCGTCGCATGCTTGTTTTTCCTCGCTATGCCTGAAAGGTTTCAAATGACATCAAAATACACGTTCACGAACTAGTTTTCTGGTGTTAATTGAGGTTACAATGCATACACAGGGCTTGAAATACTGGGTGCATGTGCACCTTGGTGCATACTGGGTGCATGTGCACCTTGGTGCACCCAAATTTGGAACTGTGCATCCAATTTTTATTTGATAAACTTTATTTGATAACTGTGCACCCAAATATTTTTGTTGATATTTTTGTACATATTAAATGTATAATAGTACACAGGATATTCTAAGGGTCAGAAAAATAGTAAAATCTTTGTTGTAGTACAATGTACTTGTGTAAGATTTTGAAGTTAGCTCCCAATTCAGATCAAGCTTAGAAGAGAAGCAGTAAGATTGATTATTAGGTTTTGTTTTGTATGGTGCATCCAAAAAATTTTTGTGCACCCAATTTTTTAGGTTTTAGGTACACCTACTCCCAAAAATGAATTTCGAGCCCAGATACTTCTTTGCCTGTTGGCATCTGGTCGTTTCCAAATCATGTGCTGATATTCTTTCTAAACCTCTGCAAGTTGGGGTGACTTTGTCAGCATACATGTTACATATATTCGACAACTGCTTAGAACTTAAAAGTATGCAACAGACTACTATTTTATGCCCTTCATTAGCATATCTTGCTTCTTTGAAATTTATTATTTATTGTTTATTTATATACATGATGTATATAGATAGATACTTCAATGTTACACTCAAATTTGTACATGACGGTGTTGCATTGCATGACTGTATTGCATGCTTACATTGCATGATAATCATTGTATTTTTTTTATATTCCAACATTTCATGACTAGACATGGTGAGGGCACACTCAAGTTATTTCAACTCATTTTATGATGCCACCAATGCAGAGGATAAATACTGTATACAGAACAGGACAATACTCATTTTTACTTGAGTTAAGTGAGGAAAGACGTGTTAAGTGCCTTTCCCATAAGATCAGTGGCATGTCAGGACTGGAACCTGGGACCTCTTGGTCCTGAGCCTAGCACTCTGTCACCCACATGACCCCATGATCGTATTGCATGACTCAGTACAGTAACACATGATAAAATAATCTTTACTGTCAGCTGCAAAATAACTCACCTGAACCCTTCCCTGATTTAGCACCCCGCCACCTATGAGCTTGTTGGCAAAGTCCATCTACAGGACACAAAAAATAAAACAAGAGATGTGCATCAGTCTGAGAAAAGAACAATTTGGCCTGCATATAAATTGATTGGAATCTGACTCGTGAAGAATTGAGAAGGTATTGCATGTGTGAACATTTTGAAAGCAAAGGGCTTATTTTGAAATAAAAAGCTAAACAGATGTATTACCGCAAGCATTTCTTCTGACAACCAATTCTTTTGAAAATTAAATTTCCATTTTATCCTTTCAATTCAATTACCTTTTCCATTTGCAACCATACCCAAAACCTTAACTACATGCAAAATGCATGTTACTGTATGGCTCTTAGCATATTGTATCATTGGAGTCCATACAAACTAAGGCTATATTGCCCTGTTTCCTAGATTTTAGCAGGGTTCTACCTAGTGCAAAGTAGCGTAGGGGCCCCCTACGCTATAATTTTCACCCCCTACGCTAAATTTTTCCCCCTACGCTAAATTTTCAATACAGCATAGGGGCATTGTGACTGTATTTCTTTGTTCAAGAATGCCAGATCAAATGTGAAAAATTACCAATCAAGGATACATTGTACATACCTTAGAAATAAGTTTTTTGCCTTTGGGTATCCCTCAAATGGCCCCTTTTTTTAGCTCAATTTTTTAAAAGCTCCGCCCCATCCCCCCTCTCGGTCGCTTCGCTTCCTTGACATGCGGCCAGTATCACTACGCTAAAATTAAATCCTAGCTAGAACCCTGTTTTAGGTTCCCTTTTTATAACATAGCAGGCAGCTATCCCATCTGATTTTAATGCCTTGTTGCATTCAACGCAGTTAAAACCAACAAGATGTGTACATCTCCCCTCTGTGATGGCAGCCAAGCACGGAAGTTCTCACTGCTTGTGAGTATGTACTGAGAAAGTTGACATGATACAAGTCAATCCATCATTCAAATTGTTAAAATATTTGAGCAAACAGGACATGCTACTGTGTTGAAGTATAAATAAGTTTCAGGACCTGACCCCTAAATTTTTACGTCAAGGCTCCTTGCTTACGTCAATGCATTATTTCTTTGTTTTAATATGATTACAATCAAAAGAAGGATATTTCCGAGGATCTTTACCAACAAAATTCTCTCCTACTGTAGCATACTATTAGGTGGAAATTTGCATGAGATAATCTGACAATGGTCCTCATGGCCTTGGGCTACTGTATTTTCTGATTTTTGCTCAGTACTGTTATGTTCACTGTACCGTGAACCTATGTAACAGTTAACAAAATTTAATAATTCCTGGACTTTCTTTTTCCTGCACCTGTCAGATCGTGAAATTCTGCTACCGTGAACATAAAGTGAATTACAGTATACTGTTATTTGCAAAACTTTGATATGCAAAAGAAAAAACATTTTATACAATGTGGCAAATGTGACATACCTGGAGAGTGTGACTCCCAGAATCCTCTATTACTCCCTGCTGGACGACTGTGACTGGACACAGCTGTTTGTCACATGACAGCCAGGTGTCCCAGCTGGGCAGGTGCTCCTCACTCACCACCTGGTAGGACAACAGGGAACAAGATAATTAGCAGTTGTACAAATTTGCATATTCCACTGTCTCTTCCTTCCAGTCTAAGGCCACACCAATTTAATTTGTTGTTTCTCAGATTTTTTCAGAAAAAAATCAGGAATAACAGGGCAAGAAAAAAAAACAGGCCAATGCACCCCATGATAGCCGGAAATCTTACAATATGAGCCATGAAGTGAACATACTAGGCTGGTTTATAGTTACAATATATTTTGAACTTTTATTTCAACTGTTGGGGCCAAAATATGTCTTTCATGAGCATTTTGTAGTTAATTTAGAACTCAAACAATTTTTTTTCTTTTTGCAAATCAGAAAAAAATGGACAGGGCGATCCGAGAAGCAACAAATTAAATTGGTGTGGCCTAAGGCGAGACATTTTCGACCTCCAATATTCAATCTCACTTGCTCCCAGCCAGTGGGGGAGGCCATTTTGACCTCCAATTTGACCTTCCTGTCAGTCTGTGGTTACACCATTCCCCCTGCACTTCCTGTCACTCTACTGAAAAACAACTGAAAACAAAATGTATCCATACGGAAAAAATTAGTATGCAGGCATCCGATAGCCTGGGTGCCATCCGATTTGTAACTGCTACCCCGAAAAATTTTTTTCGGGGTAGCCATTACAAATCGGATGACACCCAGGCTAGGCATCCGAAGAAAAGGACAAGAGACAGACAGTGTATGAGATTTCCATCTGAAATTCACTGGAACTGTCAGAGCCTAGCTTGAAAGGTTGATTATGTTGTCAGCAGTAATGCAAACCTCCCAGACCAATACTTCAGCTATCTCAGACAGACAGCACTTTGACTCACAGCTTTCTACTTAGGCCACAGCAAGTAATTTTTATGGATGACATTAGCGCGCGCATTAATTTTCACCTGATTTTGGAAAAAAAAATTTTTTTGTTGCCTTCTGTCAGTGGTCAGCGAGCTGAAAATGGGCAAAGATGTCTGTTGCCATGCCGGAAGGTGGATGGCAAATGACTATGAAGAGAGGCGACAAGAAAAGTCTGAGACTGATTTTAATGTTTTGTTTCTTACTTTGATGCAGTGATATGTGATGCTGGCTGAGTATATGTTACATGTATGTTCCTACTGAATCAAAACCATTTGTACAAATTATAATTAAGTCAAAATTTTAAATTATAGGAACGTTGTTTTTTTTGGCACGCCTTGTTTTTTTTCGCCCACTTGCATTAGATTTGGAATCTGCGGAGGATGTCATCCATAAAATTTACTTGCTGTGGCCTTACAGCTGCAGGAGAGATGCGTACGTGTAGATGGCAGGATAAACCTATTAATAGCACATGAAAGACAGCTCTGCCACTGGGGGAAAGAAAAGCTTCTGGCGTTTTAGCAATACAGACTCAACAGCCATCAACACCGATCTGGCAGTTAGGACGTTGACAAACTGTGATGCCCGCTACCTCGTGCGAGTCATGAGCTTTCCATTTCGCGTGAGAAACAAATTATTTTATGTGCAGTCTGCTGGCGGGCTGACCATCTATAAAATATATGTAGCGGCAGGCTTTTGGCTAGGGATTTTTTTGTTGGGTGTCCATTTTTTTTATTGTATGCTATGCACAGCAAAGTTGTGCACCGAGCATTTAGCTTTTTAGGGGGCTTTTATGAAATTTGTAATGCTCTCAAATACTAGTTTCCACATTTTGAGGTACAAATTTTGAGGAACACAGGCTGCAAGTTTTTTTTCCTTAGTTACAAAATCAATTTTGTATTAATTATAGTAAGACTGAAGGGAGGCATGTGGTTTTTTAGGGTGTCTTTAGCGTGTCCTACCAAAAAGTAGGGAGTCTAATTTCTTGTTAGTTTTTCAGTACCGGGAGTCTAAAAGACACCCCCTAGCTACAAGCCTGATGCCACTGGATCCCAGTGCTCAGTGTACATGTATGTAGCAAGTGTTAGGTTTTCCCGTGACAAGATAATAATTGTTTTATTTTACATGACAATTGGTAATACTATAAATGAGGCTAAGTATTACATTTAGGACACAAGTATTGTAAATCATATGGCTGACTTCTGCATGCAAATATATTAAATGAATTTTCGTTTTCTGTAATACTGTTAGATTATGATTGTGTTTGATGTCATGAAGGACTAGTCCTTGGTCAGGATTTAAATCTTAATCTGGGGATCTTTGATAAGGATTCTTAACTGTTCTCATAAATGTAGCCCAGAAAAACAGTTGTTATCTGCTTCAAAATACTGCTGAATTGTATTTACATTGTAATATTATAATAGCTTTTTGACTTACACAGCTGAGATGCAAACACATTAACATTGAAAGTAACAATTTTGAAAATATCTAACCTCCTCAACTTTGGTAACACGAAACTTTTAAGTTTCATGTTACCAAAGTTGAGGAGGTTAAGTATTTTGCAGCTTGTAAAGTTTAAAAACTTACAAGCTACATGTATCTTAACCACAGGATTTGAAGATCAGAACAAGTTTACGTCACGTTGAAGTTTTCTTCATGCTCTGCACGTCCACCCATCATGCAGTTTTCATCCACAAGATGGTCTCCTGGAATCACTTATGGCTCAGGTCTGCCTCGTAATTGATTTTCTCCTAATCTAAATGCCAAATACTGTCCACAGAGATTAGCACGGCCTGACCTTACTTAGATTTCCTGTATAATGCAGGGTTTACTAAGATGACCCTGCACGTACTATATGGTTATAATGAGTTAGGGGCTCACCGCATACATGTAGTGTTTCAATGGCAATGCCCGTAGCCAGGGGGGGTTCGGAAGGCTCCCCCACAAAGCTCAAAGGTCCACTTTTTTGTCCACTTTTTATGTAAAGGTCCACTTTTTGGTCCACTTTTTATGTAAAGGTCCAAGATTTTTCTTCAAAAGATGGACTGGAATCATAGAAAAACTGCTCCCTTTGTCATTGAATGAAAATTTATCTCTGTTTTTTTCTTGGAAATCCTCTCAAAATTGCACGAAATGCCATTTTAGACTGTTCATTTTTCAAAATTTTCCGGGGGAACATGCCCCCGGACCCCCCTAGGAACCTCGCGCCTTCGCCGCTCCAGTGGGAAGAAACCCCCCCCCCCCAATTCAAAATCCTGGTTACGAGCATGTGTACAATGTTTCATCACTCTGGTGTCAGATCAGGGAGCTTAGAAGAGGATCAGCTCAAACAATTATTTATGTTCCTTGCAGGGGTCCCCCCCCCCAAAAAAAAGTCTAGGGTCTAAGTTTTTCTCAGTTCGGTTGGAAAGCAGGAAACACAACATTTTTTTCCTAGGCCTCACATCAAGGCCTCAGTAGATGGCCATAGTCTCTCCCTATGTGCACAATTAGACATGAAAGAGGCCTGTAGTCATGACAGATGTGCCCTGCCCATATGGCTCATCTGGCTTGGCACGGTTCCAGTAAGACTCTTCCTTACAGAGATGCACACTCAGAGGACATCAAAGTGACTCAAACATGGACCTAACCTTACAAGTTCCCGTATAGTAAGTAGGTACCTGGTGATACAGAATTATCTTCTGAGGATCAGGGCTTACCTGTATCACAAAGCTATTTTGAAAAGATCTGTGAAAATACAACCATCCAATGCAGAAAAGATTTTAAGGGACATTTAGTTACAGACTGCCTAAACCTAAAATGACATTTAGGATACAAGTCTCCTTTTGTATCTATGGCACCCAGCAACTGTAATATCTGCTTTTGAAATTTCATCAAATCTCAGTAAGAGACATCATATTTCAATGGATCTAGAGGCAGGAGGAACAATGAACATACAATACTCAGTGGAATTGTTATTCAGCACCAAGGACAGGACTTATTCTACAAAGTAATGAGTTTCAATAAGAGAGTTTTTGGTTAGCCTTTTCATTTTTGTCTGTATATTCCTATCAAAACAACTCCTTGATTTTATGTTAGCTTGTTAGGAGGTGTACAGGTCACATATTATTATTTTTTTTTTGGATGAAGCAATTACACTCAAATCACTAGAAACAGAAAGCACTAGTCTTACCCAATGGATTTCTCATTCAGCACCAAGGACAGGTGTTACATGTTTAATTATGAAATCAAGCTGACCTGGTCTAAAGTCAATTTTTGCATTTGTGTAAGGACAGTGTGTTCAAGAGAAACAAAAACATGTCTGAGTATTCTCAATTAAGGAAAACTAAACCTTAACTGTCAAGTTTATTACTGTTTTTCTTGTTATTGAAAAAGTTCAGAAGAGCATGTTAATTGGTTGAATTGTTCCGGTTCAGGTCTGAACCTGTACCTAAACCTGTGTACCTGTATCTGTACCTAAAATTTGTTTAGGTACACATGCAGCTCTAGCCTGACGTAGCAAAGTTGATGTAGAATTCCGATATGAACAGACAATTAGATGACAATTACCAGTAAATACTAAAAACAGAGTCTGTCATGCATGTAATGTAATTCATGCATCAATGCTGCACGATTCTTACCTTCATTCACATTTTTATCAGCAAAATATATGTCCACACATGTTCTAATTTGTTCAGGTCCATTGCCTAGAGCTGTGTACTAAATGTTCAAGCTATTTTGGAGCTGTACCAAAATGATGGTGCAGTGGCCATAACATCCATAATGTATTGTACCCGTATACACAATTCACACCACGCGTGTCGTTGTGCTAAGTAAGATAAAATGTACCTTTCTGGTGAAGGTGATGTTACCCTGGGGTCCTTCAGGGTCTTCAGCCAGTCTTTCAAAATAGTGCAGGATGCAGCGTAGTTTGGCAACCTGGGTCTCCCTGGATAGAAGAAACGATAACATATACAGGGCTCAAAATTCATTTCTTGGAATAGGTACACTGATGCACCCAAGGTAAAAAATTGGGTACACAAAAAATAGTTTGGGTGCATCATATGAAACAAAATATTGTACAAGTAAGACTAGAATATCAGAAAAAAACTTATTATATATTGTGATGTTTCATTTCTATAGAAAAGTAACTGTAACAACAATGATTTTATTATTTTTCTGTGTCACTACCTGCAACCTGTATATGACTGTCTCTTGTCACGTGATTATCCCATCAAGTCACGTGACAAGAGAACTCCAAGACAAGATCTTAACCGGGTTGAAGTCAGGAGACAGAGTGCGTCTCAAAAGCTCCCCAGTGTAGCTGAACTTTAGTTGTGTGTTTTGGTATAAATATTTGTCAAAAAAAAGAATATGCTGTTTACTAACTATACATAATTATTTTTAAAATCTTAACATACATAAACCTACAAAAATATCTGGGTGCACTGGTACACCCACAGAAAAAACTTGGGTGCACTAAGGTGCACATGCACCCAGTATTTCGAGCAGACCTCAGAATCAATACTGGAAGGAAAACATCCCAGTGTGTACATGTATCTATTCCATCACTAGATACTGTCATGCATGGTTGGGATTAGTCTTTATCCCTAAATGGTAAAATCATCTTCCATCTGTAGAAGCAGAAAAGATATAACATCTGTGTCCATAATATCACCAGGGTCCATAATATCGCCACCTTGAGAAAAAGTGTGCTTAAAGATATTTTTACTGCAACATACCCTAGGTATGTACATTTGAGGTGTGCAGGAGTGCATACCAAAAGTATGTTGCAGTAAAAATATCTCAAAGCACACTGTTTCTCAAGGTGGCGATATTATGGACCCTGGTGATATTATGGACACAGATGTTATACAATATACCAAGGAGGTTAAATACAAGGTTTTTTAGTATACACACAATATTTGTATTTAATCTCCTTGAATATACATATATGACTGATGACATTATTTACGGAACATTATCTTGCTTCTAAACCCTGGTAGTGCTGTGCTCACTACGAAAGATGCCCCGGGATAATTTTCCATTGGGAAAAATGAATGTTAACTGAGAAGTCTGTTCCATATTTTGTATATGCCCTGGGTTTAGGTCCGGACTTATAAGACCGGACATGAACCTAAATCTCTAGACTTGAATCTGAACCTGAACCTGGGTTTAGGCAGCGTGCAAATACATGTACCTGGTTGCCCAGTTGCCCCGGGCAACCAAATTCTAGTTGGGGCAACCTATTTTTGAACCCAGGTAGCCCAGTGTGCTACCTGATTTTTAATAATGCCACCCCCCCCCCAAACGAAATCATGCCCACTTGGCTTGCACCACTGTATCCAGCAGATGCTTTTTAATTTTAGGTATTAATGGCTATTATTAGTATCAGTTAACTAAAGGCTGTTAGAAATATTGTCAAAGGCTTATGTATGTAACATTACTTAATTAGAGAAGTAGTAACTTATAGGTGGGGAAACCTAGAATTCTGATGGGCAACCTAATTTTTGCTGTAAGACTGGGCAACCAACAGCAGGTTAGCTGTCGGAAGGAATATGGCACACAGTGCTGTGTACCTATTACCAGTGTAAAGTGCTGCATACCGGTTCACTGGACTTGGATCTGGACTTGTAAGAATGTTTAGGTTCAAGTCCAAAAAAACCTAAAAGTCAAGAACCGAGTCCGGACTTATTACCATAAAAGACAATTTCACATACCCCTTTTCTTTCCAAACCACCTAAAACCTTCCGTAGATTGCAAAATCTTTGCTGCAAAATGAATTCGAAAAAAAACATTGCCATCTGGCATCATCAAGTACCGGCCTCCATGTTACGTGGTCAAAGTTTCACCCAAACAACATTGCAAGGTTGCCATCATGCAAGTTTGTATATGCCATGGGTTTAGGTCTGGACTTACAAGTCCGGAACTGAACCTAAACCTCTGGACTTGAATCCGGACCTGAACCTAAATGTGGGTTTACATTGTAGGTATGCAGCACTACCAGTGTACAAAATCCTTTTTGAACCAGGTTGCCCACTGGGCCATATTCCTTCCGACAGCTAACCTGCGTACAGGAGTAATTTGTCTGGGTACGCCTGACCTATTTAACCAATGACTTCTCATGTGGAGGCTACATACTTAATAAACGCCTGTCAGGGAGGAACCAGAAGGATTTTCTTTGTTGCCTTCTTTTGTTTTAGAAAGGGTGGCACAGTTCAAGGAGAAAGTATTTTGAAGTTGGGTTCCCTTTGAAACTGATTGAAGTGTACATTTCATAGTAAAGGGCTTGAATCTCATTTTTGGGAATAAGATATAGGTGCCCTGGTGCACCTTAAGATTTAGCCAGCATTTTTTTAGCCCTTCTATCTATTAGCCTTGAAGAGAGTTCACCAATCTTTAAGGCTTAGGCCACAGCAAGTAAATTTTATGGATGACAATCTCCACAAACCCCAAATCTAATGCGAGCGGGCGAAAAAAAAACAAGGCGACCGAAAAAAACAAGGTTCCTACATTTTAAAATTTTGACTCAATCATTGTACAAATGGTTTTGATTCAGTCGGAACATCACATATACACAGCCAACATCACATATCACTGCATCAAAGTAAGAAACAAAACATTAAATCAGAGCCTTTTCTTGTCTCCTCTCTTCATAGTTATCTGCCATCCACCTTCTGACCTTAGCATATAACTACATGTACCTGGTAACAGAATACAAATTCAGCCCTTTCTCCAGAATTGGTTTTTGGACAGAATTTTGGGGACTGCGTGGGAGGAACACAAAATTGATGTCCCTCTTGACGGCCAAAAAATCGAAACTTCATCGTATTTTCATTGGGTCATCAACGGTGCCGCAATACCTCCACAAGATTAAAAGATTTGAAATTTGCCCCTAAAAAGGCTGGGAATAGTTTTGACCTTCCTTCAAAATTTCCCAGTGGAAATAACGCCCTTGGATTTTCATGGTGGCGAAACTTTGCTCCAGTAAGCACATCCACAGAACGTACTGCACCTGCGCAAAACCCGTAATGTATTGTGCATAGCATTTTGGCAGAACAGCTCATATAAGGTTGTATTTGCGCATACTGTATAATGTTAACATCCCGTCTGTAGTTTCAAAATGTTATGTTGGAAAACATGAATGAATGAGTGGATGGATGGATGGATGAATGAATTAAAGAAAGGAATGAATGAATGAATGAATGAACGAACGAACGAACGAACGAACGAATGAATGAATGAATGAATGAATGAATGAATGAATGAATGAATGAATGAATGAATGAATGAATGAATGAATGAATGATATCGTCTGCAATGGGCAAAATTCTTATGCAAAATTGACCAAACATTCAACGAAAACCAGGAAAAATGGAGGTTTTGCACAGGTGCAGTACGTTCTGCCGATGTGCTGCTCTAGTTAATTGAGAGGATGAACAAAAATTCACAGCTGTGGAAGGAACGAGCCCTGAATTCTGATCACTTTAGTTACAATCAGTGTAGGCAACGAAAAAAAAACTTCAAAATCTTGCATTTAGCACAGTTCTGAAAGTTCCAAGCTACATCAGGCTTCTACCAAGTTTCTGTACATAATATTATGTCCTACCAGGGCCGCGATTACGTTCGATACGGGTGTTCCGGCCCGTGTGATAACTAGCGGTACGGCCCGGGGGTTCTTTACGCGTACGGCCCGGGGCTTCCAAATGTTCCATAGAACGATTCGAACGCGTTTCGCCCTAACCGCTTGCACCGCTTTCGAAATTCGAATACAAAATTCGGACGTTGGAATTGATGTTGTTGCATTTGTTGGGTTTAGGGACACCAAATTTTCGCTCATTTGGCATTGAAAGGCATGTTTTCTTGGGTGGGTATGACATAAATAAAATACAACACGGTGTATTCCGCATCACCCTCGGTCCCAGCCCTCCCGCGGATCGGATCTCCCTCCGGCCTTCAGCCGTCGGGCGGTCCGACGCGCTGTCGGGCTGGTACCTCGGGTGATACGGAATACACCGTGTTGTATTCTATATTAATGTATTTCTGATCCTTTCAGTCTTTTCAATGATGAATGAAGACCTTTATTGCACATTTCTGCAACACTTGGCTAAGTACAGGTCACAACAAAACAAGATGAATGGACACGGTTAACAGATACAAAATTAACTAACTATCTTTATATAAATTCAACTTCTCCTCGCTTTTCAGTTATTGTGGAGATAAAGGTACAGATCTGTTTTTCGATGGGTGGTTTGTCTAGTCGCATTAGGAATATACATCAATGCCTCCTTTGAGCACTCAGCCCGAAGCACACACGTATTTCTTTCATCAGCGATGCAGCAAATGGATACTATATTACTTAGATGGTAAAAAATCTATGCGGCGGCGCCTTGCGTCCAGACATATTCTACGTGTCAAAGCTGGCACTAAATAAAACCCCAGCAATGCAAATGCCTGCCATTACGTACAAATGGAGCCTAATGCTGTACTTATCCCAGCATTACAATATTAATGGCTCCTTTAGAATTGTAGTTGCACGGACACATTACTTACTGCCAGGGACATGTAGTTATATGTCACCTGTGTAATTCAAGCCCTGAGTCTTGCTATGATTTCAGCTACACCAATTTTCAAATTTTGGTACCCGGTAATAAGATATGCTAAATTTTCACCAAGTTTTCCACCCTCACAAAGAAAACATTTCTAACTGTTGTCTTCTACGTGTCCCAGTAGATGTCTCTATTTATGTTTACCTTCGCAAAAAGAAAACACACTGTTTTTGCTCTGTTTCTTCTTCCTCTTCTTCTTCCTCTTCTTCTTCTCCAAACAAATAAGGTCAATAACCTCAACCAGACGTCTATCACCATGGTAACTAGTGTTGGGTTACATCATGTTGCAATTTTATAGCAGGAGGGATTTAGACTCCTGTCACCATATATTATGAATGTGTTTGAGTAAGAGTTAACAGAGCATACAAAATGTGTAGGTAAACATTATGCATTTGCTTTGAAAATGTTACCTTTCCATTTCTGTTCTATCATCTGTCTCCAAGTGCATGTATCTATTTTCCTCTTTACCCTTATCAGTCCCCGCAATCTTCCAGAGTCCGTCATTAAGGTTAGGTCATGCCTTGGGAACACAGATGCCACCCTGCCTCTAACATGTTGCCTTGCCATCCATATCTATAAACCATCCCTTCCATCATCTCAAGGCCGGTGGATTCGATTTTGCCGTGACTGAATCAGAACTGCTAGGGAGACAGACCCTGGGGACATGTCTAAACTACAGCTTCACATTCTGCCTGTAGGAGGCAATGTCATTACTAATACTCCTTAGGATTTAGGTCCAAGAATGAATAACATCTATTAGGCCACACCAATTTAATTTGTTGGTTCTCGGATTCGCCTCTTCATTTTTTCTGATTTGCAAAAAAAAATTTAAAAAAGGATTCTGGTTCTGAGTCAACTCAAATATGCTTAATATATACATGTATTTTGCCCCCAACAGTTGAGGAAACAAGAGTTTCCTTCTTTGCTACCTGATCAGATAACAATAAGATTACAAGATGGCATAACAAGAAATAATAATACCAACAGAATAACAACAATAATAATTGTAACAAAAATGTTAATAACAATGATCATGATTATAACAAAAATCAACAATGAGATAATAAAATAATGCTCTAATACTAACATATCTAACCTTCTTTTTATTATTAGAGGATTACAGTTTTAAAAGACTAAGAAAATCATAGTGATGCACGTAAGGTATGTCTGGTGCACGTAATTTTTTGGTACCTCCCCCAAGGTTTACAAAAAAAAAAATTGACAATGACTATGTGTGCCTTGAATACAGAATACCTTGCTGCAAAACACACACAGCTAAATCTGTTCTCTGGAGAATATCATCCATTACTGACATTACCATGATGTACATTTTGTAGTCTGAACATGGCATTCCATCTCAGGACATAGCCAAAAGGCATCATTCTTATCTCACCCCTACTTAAATGTCAGAGTGCTGCCGGCAGAGAAGTTGTTTATGTAGTCCCTGTATGTGACCTGTGCAGTGTCCCACCATAAAATAGATGGATACTTACCCAAGACTTTTTTGGCGACGTCTCAGGGAGGAGCCTAATGGTACAGTATTGTGTGCAGTTTGCAAGAATTCTACATGTAGGAATAGTACAGGCATTTTTGGCGACGTCTCAGGGAGGAGCCTAATGGTACAGTATTGTGTGCAGTTTGCAAGAATTCTACATGTAGGAATAGTACAGGCATTTTTGGCGACGTCTCAGTGAGGAGCCTAATGGTACAGTATTGTGTGCAGTTTGCAAGAATTCTAGGAATGGTACAGGCATTTTGTCCACAGGCATGCAGAATGTCCACATGCATGTCTCTGACCCACATCAATGCCCACATTCCTGGAAACCCTTGGGAAGACCTCTCTTTTCCCAGATGGCCCTACTTTCTGTGACTCCGGGGCTCGTTCACTATACACTCAGGGGAGGAGTGCACTGTATCTGTCTAGACTTTAAAGGTACCAAGTCTTCCTCAAAATCATTAAATCATGTCAGTGCCATGCAAACAATAGCTGGAAATAATTTAAAATGGCTACCTCCTTCCAGCCACGAAAACGACGTTGAAGAACCTGGTGAAGTTGAAGACGTTCAGGGCGGCGTTCCGACCCTTGGGAAACGTGCAGAGGAACGTGTGAGCCACGACCGATGCAACAAACCGGCGCTGAAGAACCACCGACCCACCTGTAGGAACAACATAACGTTTAAGTCAGTGCTTTTCATCTCTCATAAGGTCAGACACAGGAAGTTGGGTCCCAGAAGCTGAGATTCTGATGGCTCAAATTCAGAATTAACTAAAAAGAGGTTCAAATTCAGAACTAAAAACTTAAAGGTGACATTTGCAAATCATATTAATATGCATATAATGTTTACCTTCGCATATCGTCTACACTGTTAATTACACATGTATTACTCAAACACATGATATATATGGTGACAGGAGTCTAAATCCCTCCTGCTATGAAATTGCAACATGATGTACATGTAACCCAACACTGAGTTACCATGGTGACAGACTTCTGGTTCAGGTCATTGATCTTATATAATGGTTTGGAGAAGAAGAGGAAATAGAGCAAAAACAATAAATTTTTAATATAATAATAATGTTTTCCTTCGGTAAACTTATAATATATGATTAATACATTTAGTGTAAATTTGAGGGGATTGCACATGCAGTTGTCCCTCTGTCAGTAAGACATAGTTCCTGTTTAGAAACTTTTATTCAGACTGTCTCATCCTGTCCTAGTACATTTTATTTAGGCAAAATCAACGTTGGTCACACTATGGGATTGGTCTGTTGTGTTTATGTATCGGTTAATTCACATAAATGTAAGTCACTACATTGGATCCTCAACTACATATAAGACTGACTCAACTTGTATATTTGTGTGTTTCCACTAATGCACTGGACCTAGAGCTGTGTACCGGTACGCAGTACCGATACTGTACCGGAAAAATTGATTTGGTACAGGTCCAAAATACCTAATCCCTCAGTACCTGTACTGTACCTAAACAATTTCACACCAATTTTATGCCTATTTGTGACCTCAAATGGGTCCCTGTGTAAGGACAGTGTGTTCATGAAAACAAAAACATCTTTAGTTTTGCCTATATTTTATCTGAGCATTCGCCATAAACAAAGAATAAACCTTAACTAACAAGTTTATTAATGTTTTTTTGTTATTGAAGGAGTTCAGAAGAGCATATAAATTGGTCGAATTGTTCAGGTACAGGTTCAGGTCCGGACCTGTACCTAAACCTGTGTACCTGTACCTGTACCTGTACCTAAAATTTGTTTAGGTACACAGCTCTAACTGGACCTGTATGTAACATTAAAATAAAATCCCTTAGCTACATTGTAAAACCTTTAGAGTGCTTTTACAGACTGTATGTGTGAGCAGCATGGTTAATGTACAAAGCAGAGTTCTGTAAATGTTAAAGCAGCGGAGCACAGATCTGAGTGATTAGCCAGCTGTTACTGACGTGAAGTTGAAGGTTAACATGTTGTTTTCCAATCTGCGATGAAGAACAAACATGAATAAGTCAGTAGGAATAAAAGTCATGAGCGCTTCTAACAGTAAATCAACGACTGGAACAGCTTAGAAGTTTTCATATTAATTTAAAAAAACTTCAGATCCATTACAAGTTTATGGGATGTATCATACACAGTTCGGACAGAAAGCTTCACCATCCATTTTTCTTAATAGGATGAAAGATGAAATTATGATCCTTGACAATTTATGAAGTACCTAGAGTTTTTGCGAATTTCCTGTTTCATTCATTACTATTTACAAAATAAAAACATAAAAATGTTCATATTTGACAGACATGCTGCCAGTCTCTCATTGGTGGAACTGCTAAATGTGTAAAAGACAGTCAGGATCATTCTACGGATCATACTCATGTACACAATAGACCATAAAAATCATCATAACATTTCTATTTTAACAAATTAAATGAATTTGCAACAATTCTACAAGTCCAAATACAATTTTGAGAAATCGCTGATATTCTTCTTATATGAATAAGTCACTGCAAAATGAATACTGCCAGAATCATTCCAGAACTGTTCAAAAAGAGGCCTCGTATGTTGCACTTAGGCTATACCAATTTAATTTCTTGGTTAACGGATTTGCCCGCATCATTTTTTCTGATTTGCAAAAAAAAAAAAAAAAAAACTCAGAATCAACTGCAAAAAGCTCAATTTTATTTTGCCCTTTTCTTCCTAGTTGTTACAGTTATTCCATCTTTCAATGCAGTGGTATCCTTAAAAGTTCAAAATTCATTGTTTAAATTTTGAACCAGCCTGGTGTGTTGACTTCATGGCTCCTATTGTACCATTTTGGGCCATAATAGGATGCCTACTGTAGGCCTGTTTTTATTTTTTTTCGCCCGCCCACTCGATTATTTTTCTAGAAAAATCCATTAACCAAGAAATTAAATTGGTGTGGCCTTATAAATTTACAATATTATTGTATAAGCAAGTTACAACTTTGCACCTGGTATTGTGCAACCAAATTTAGATGTCCAGCGGAATATTGATTCAAGTTCAAAGTGAAGCGAAGCTTTTACGTTTGGCAATGGTGCCACTTAAGGTCCCTTTGAACTAAGAGCCAAAATGTCTTAAATCTTATTCCCCCTTTTAGGGAGAGGATAAATCCATATCACTGTTCCATTAGACTCTGATGCACAAAAACAAGAACTGGTCTAAGTCCTTGATACATCTACCCTTTTAGTAAGGGGAATGAATGCTCAATTGAACACAGTGGATCAAAGAAATGACCACACGATGTACATTGTACTAATGAGGGTGTCTTTATAAGTTATATTTATATGTAAGTCGTTACATGTTTAATTAGTACATAAGGACTTCTTCGAAATGCAGTGAATTAGAAGTCTTGTGTACTACCGGGTACAAGGCCAATTTAATTCTTGGTTAACGGATTCGCCGCTTCATTTTTTTCTGATTTGCAAAAAAAAAGTTAGAATCAACTGCAAAATGCTCATATTTTGTCCTGAACAGTTGAAAACAGTCCTTTTCTTCCTAGTTGTTACAGTTATTCCATCTTAAAATGCAATGGTATCATCAAAAGTTCAAAATTCATTGTTTAAATTTTGAACCAGCCTTTTGTGTTGACTTCACGGCTTCTATTGTTGCCTTTGGGGCTATAAATATAATAGAATGCCTAGACCTGTTTTAATTTCTATTTTTTTCGCCCTGTCACTTCATATTTTTTTCTGAGAAAATCCGAGAACCAACAAATTAAATTGGTGTGGCTTCAACTGCAAACTTCAAATGCAGTGAAAACCTCCTATACCCTCCTTCTCCCTAGCCTGGTATCCAGTCTGATCGTGATTGGGGGTATTGGGGTGTTCAGGCAGGTTGTGTCTTCGGGGGCTCTAATAGCTTCCCCCGCCCAGTGCAACAGACCGTCCCGGTAGGAGTGTTACGCTAATCAGAGACAGTATGCTTGGGGATTTGGTTGTGTTCCTGGAGGGCTAATTAATCTCTCGTGAAATACACACCGGGAAACCTATGTGAGGCGGGCGGGACAGAGCTCTTACGGCCCTGAGCTCTTACGGCCCCGACCACGATCAGACTGGATACCAGGCTACCTTCTCCTCTAGTCAAGTCGGCCTGCGAAAATGAATTTCCGGCAGGTTGATAAAATCACTCTAGACTGAGTGGGAAGTAATAAAGCACTCATGCTGAGAAGACAAGGTGTTCCAGATAAGAGCAGTCAGAGTATCGCTTGTATCAACACTGTCCTCTCAATGCATGGCTTTTCCTATTACTAGAGTACTCCCATCTGAGTACCCTCAATTTTGCCCATGCAGCCCACTTTTACTAATTATAACGACTGCACTTAAACAACGGCACTCAGACTTTTGGAGGTTTTGGAGGACAGCATGTCATGAGATTTAAAATGTTCAACATCCTTTTTCTGTTTGTTTGTTTGTCTGTTTTTCTGTTACCTGCAATGTAGCAAAGTGGTCTGAAATACATGGTTGAACATATAAAATACATCTTTATTGACATCTTTATCAATGGTTCATTTTATGTCTAACATTTCTCTACAAACGTACATGTATGTATATGTGTATGTTTGTGTGTGTTTGTGTGTGTGTGTGTGTGTGTGTGTGTGTGTGTGTGTGTGTGTGTGTGTGTGTGTGTGTGTGTGCGCGCGTGTGCGTGTGCGTGTGCGTGTGCGTGTGCGTGTGCGTGTGTGTGTGTGTGTGTGTGTGCGTGTGCGTGTGCGTGTGCGTGTGTGTGTGTGTGTGGGTGTGTACATGTGTGTTGGACTTGAATCCAGAACCTTTAAATTTCTCACTCAACCATTACCCTTAACATAACTGTAAAGGTTACCACATATATATATGTACAAGACCACCATGGCACCATCTGTATTCAATCCATCTGTATGTATACAGTATAACATGTATACAGTATATGCAAACATGTACAAAGCCTCGTATCTATCATATACAGATCTAAGAAGCCCTTAAGGCTTCCTATATCCTTTTGGATCCCTCTAAATATCTTATTCCCATTAATGGATCATATCTGGACCTGGTAATGGCACCACGGTCATACAGATTCAGTGATTCCATTGCTGAACCCCTCTGGCTAGGAACATGCGACATTTGTACGTGTGCATGTGACATTTGTTCTTTGCCATCAAATATTGAATCAAGGATTCCATTTCAATGTTGCATAAACGACCTTTGCTTATACACATATCATATACTAGTTGAACCTCAATCCAAACTTAAAGAATGCTATTAATTTTTGAAGGATTTTTTTTATTGCAACAAACTGCTGTGTGCATGCGACATTTGTTCTTTGCTTAATCAAATATTGAATTAAGGATTACATTTCTTTCAATGTTGCATAGACCAAAAAAAATTACCTTTGCTTATACACATATCATACACTAGTTGGACTTCAATCCAAATGCTATACATTATTAACATAGAATGCTATTAATTTTTGAAGGATTTTTCCTGGGGGTAGCAACATAGTATCATGATACATGTAATAACTCAAAATGCCATAGATAAGAAATAGTGGTTTGTGACCCTGGACCATGATCTGGTATTAAATTCTCATTACATCACACCTTTGGGGCAATCAGCTAAAATCTACTGCACACATTGAAGTAAACTTTAACAGCTATATGATA